CGTGCTGGCTGGTGTAGGGTAAGAAGTTCACTCAGATAGGAAGGTGCTGTACCATAGTAGCACTGGTATGCAATGCACACGACTTTGTATTCAATCCTAGATCTTATTGGAAGTGTAATGATTTTAATAAAGGAGTGACATGTGCACGCTTATTTCGTCTACATATCAATCTGGCAGCAGCATTCTGCACACGTTGCAATTTGCTACATAGATCCTGTTTGATATTATTAAGCAGACTGTTAGCATAGTCCAATCTGGATAGGATAAGTGATCTCACGAGCTGATGTGCCGCATCGTATGTCAACATGGGTCTTATCTGACTGATATTTCGAATGTGGAAGTAGCAACTATTGCAGATATTGTTTACTTGACAATCCATGGTCAGGTTATACCCAATACAGCTCTTGTAAGTTTATAGTATTTGGCAAGTCTATATTACTGCAGTAACCCGAATGAAGAGAGTCTCTGGGCTCCTTTTTATTATATTGCAAAACTAAAATTTAACAACTGTTTTTATCTGTAAAACATGTTTCAGAGACTAGATGTTAGCCCAAGGTTCAGGTGTCTTTCTAGGACTTTCTAATCTACCAATCAGCGTCTTAATCCACTAATCAGCGCCCTGATCCACCAATCAGCGTCGAGGCTTCTACATTTTCGAGATGAATGAGTGAAGCATTCAAACTGATTTCTTTTCTCGAAAACGAACTAAAACAAGGAAATAGATTTTAGCATGTCAAAGGTCCAAAACCTGTCCTGAAAAGAAGAGACAAGATGTCAGCAATTTGTACATGTCTGATAGTTTTCATACATAACAAAACAAAACCTTCCGCCTGGTCCAGAGGATTATTTTCAGGCCGCTGTCATATAGATGGAATATTGCTTAGCGCGGCGTTAAACAACAAGCAAACAAAGACCTGTGTCAATGCGGGTCATGCTCTGTCGTCTAAGACGCCTCAGTTGTCTTCCATACGCGAGCAGGATGCGATGATTGAGAGATCGATTCCAGAATCAATTATTTTTTTCGATATTGGTGGTCCAGTCGCTGTGCAGAGTTGCGACCCTTAGAGTACAAGAAACCTATTGTCGTGGGTTCGAATCCGAAAGGCGTCCTGATTGTGATCATTTATGCCATGTTTTCATCGCGAGTTTCTCCTGATTGGTTAACCCTTACAACCTGCATGATGTCCTGCATCATCAAGTGGACAGGCATTGATAGAACTGAGAAACTGGTCAAAGCGGAGGTAAAATCTATCCCACACGCTCATTCGTTGCATATTCGAGAAGCTACTTATCCTCAGGATCTAAACTATTGAAACTGTCATCCAAAGGCCATTTGATAAACGTCTTGGGTCTTGATTGACAGGGATTGACATCACGTGCATCGATCCACGCAATTGGGATACTATGACATGCATCAACCTAGTCAGCGAGCCTGACCACCCAATCCCGTTAGTCGCCTCTTGCGACAAGCACAGTCGCCTTTTACGGCAATCATGGGTTGCTGAAGACCTAATCTATCCCGGATCTTCACGGTTGGTTTGTTGTTTAACGCCGCACTCAGCAATATTCCAGCTACATGACGGCGGTCTGTAAATAATCGAGTCTGTTTCAGTGACATTAAAGTGGCCAATGAACAACCAGGTACTGCTCGCCCAGTTCAGGTTGCCATTGCGGATGATGACAGGGAATCCGGAATATATTCCTACGTTGTTGTCAAGGAAACCTCTTGTGCATTAGGAAACCGACTCGACATTTGATATTGTCACTATTCCCTTCATACTGTTTTAAGCATTATAATACTGACATATATAGAAACAGAAACATCAGTGTGTTGTTATTTTTCAATGGTGTTCCGTGGTATACAAAAGTGGTATACAATCAACACATGTTTACAAATCAATACAAATTCGTGCACAGCAATTACAATGACAGTAAACAATGGAAACAAAGGGGCGAGTGGTGACGAAAGCATACTCGCATCTAAATATAGTAACTTCCTGACGACTGCTTACATTAAATAGTACTACATTAATGACGACTAATCACTGCCCAAATACAATGCAATGAGCGTCGACTGAATCTCAGCAGAAACAACGTAACTCAGTTACTATCAGTGTTCAACAACAAAATACACTGCCACATAACAGTGGTCGTACGTCTGTGACATTCAATTACGTTGTGTTTGTGTTTCCAACTTTGACGTGGCTCAGAAACCAGTTAAAGCATTTTTTTTAAATTAATTACGCCAATTTGAATAAAGTATAGCTGATCTTTTTTGATAGGGTGGACATGGAAACAATTATTGCCACTTCTACACATATTTGTGAGGTTTGGCAGTCAGGTGACTGTATTTGGGCTATATTTAGGAGCGTGTGCAGAGTACGTCCATTGCCACCACGAACTGAAGGAATACAACGTGCCGATGTAGAATTTTAAGCCCTAGTGACCAGTTCACTGCTTCATATAACCGCTCGCAGTCACCTGATTGCCGATTCGTACCCGGATTGAAACCGCTGATCGAAGTATTATCTAAAATACTTATTATATATAATAATTGTTTCAATATGTTTCCAAAGTACACCGAAATTATATCCCCTTTGCATACAGCAAACATTCGGCTATCGCCTCTAATTATAAGCCCCCGACGGGCAGGACCTTTAATACCCAGCGCTATATGGGTCACTGACCTTGAACCACGTTATGTTATTCATCTGTCTGTAAAATCTGACTGACATGGTCAATCACAGAGACGGGACCAGATCATCGACAGAAGCGGACGGATTGTACGGCTAGTCGTGGCGTTGACCATGGCCGTCGACAATGAAGAATCGCCGTCCGACTTCCTGACTTCGTATAACTAACAGAGCAGGTCTCTGCACCGGGAACATTTATTTTTTTTACATTAAGGGTTAAAATCGCCCCTTAATGTAAACTATTCTTATAAACAAAGTTTGATTGGAAATATAGGATACGTTTTGCCATTTTTCACCTTTTTTATTGTTTTTGCTCGGTTTCTTGCAATTATTCGTAACAAGCGGCAGCGTGAGAAACTGACTTTGCTCAGATCTGAGAACAAGAGGGGCTATTATAAGAATGGCGGGCTCGTCATGGAGGACATGCCAGCTACTACTCTGGAAGGTGATGAGCATCAGTTGTCTGCTCCCGTCGCAGATCGCGACTCAAGTGGAACATCGTCAACTGTGGATCAGGAGCGGGTGCTGCCGTCAAGGTTGAAGGTTATGCAAAATCATATCTTACATTGCAAGGAATACAGAAGATTTAACCAACAAACTGTCCGACATTGGCTTCGTTTCTTTTGTATCTGAACAAGACATTGTTGCTTTATATGAAACATAGTCAATAGAAAATTACTTTAGTGACATTTTTCCAGAATAGAAACGTTTTTTGTTTACCAGCCACAAAAAGGACCCAGTTCGGGAGGTATTCGGGAGGAATACTTTTGATAAAATATTCACTGGTAACATATAACCAGCCGGAGAGATCGACCTGATATGATAACAAAGATAGACAAAATGGGATAGATGTTTTGCTGTATTTTTTATTGAGTACACTTGAAGAGTACTGAGCTGTTTCTATCATTGTACTTGGATTTGTTTGTTTGTTTGTTGTTTAACGCCACACTCAGTAATATTCCAGCTATATGACGGCGGTCTATAAATAATCGGGTCTGGACCACACAGTGGTCGACAGCATCGAATCACGCATTTGGGATACAATGACATGCATCAACAAAGTCAGCGAGTCTGACCACCCTCTCCCGTTAGTTGCCTCTTACGACAAGCATAGTCGCCTTTTACGACAAGCATGGGTTGCTGAAGACAATCATATTCTACCCCGGATCTTCACGGGTCATTAAAGATGTACCGATAGGGATTTCCATTACTGTAGCGCATTTAGACTTCGTGCTGTTTGGGTATTCCAGCTTTTTAAAGTTTCGTTCTGTGGCGATCTTCGATTGAGTGTTTAGTCATTTACATTGTTCGTAGGCATCGCAAGGCCACATAAACACGTCATACATCACTATTGTCGGACCGACCTCACTTCTGCCTCAGACCTGCCCTCTTAGCTCCGTTGTAGTGAAAGATGCTGACGTAAAATCATGAAGCCTCGATGTCCGAGTGAATTGAACACCTGGGCCACGCTACAGGATATCATATAATTTGGGACTGTTGTCCCTCGATAAGTGAAAACCAAATGGAACACAATCCTTAAATGTGTCCCCTTCATGGATTGAAACAATAATATTTTCATGAGGGAAGCAGTGACAATATGTATGTACTCTTGGTCAGATTGAATTGTGACATCGAATCAGTCATAATTCAATAACATAAGATTTAAATAAGAATTAGATATAACAAAAACTTTACATAATAAACTTAAACACGTGGTCATGAATAGAAGGACAAGATAGCGGAATGTTGATGGTATTGTCTAAGAATAGCGTCAATCTTGTTTACGATATAATTTATTGATTTATTTATTGATTTATTTATTTGTATATTTATTTATTTATTTATTTTATATATATATTTATATATATATTACACCTCTGATGATATGCTGATCAACACAACAATTTTGTTCGAAGTCCAAGATATCCACCTACTGTTGCCCCAAACCGGAAAAAACGCCTTCAGATAGGAAGTGCATATATATTTGTGTGGCGGTGGACACTAACAGTATGTGGACATGGGCTCTCAGAGAGGAATTGTTGTCATCAGGCTGAGCAAGTTATAGACACGTGTATATGCTTTCTGGGACCGAGCCTAATCTGCATTTAGATTTAATAAAGTAGCGAAAAGCATAGTACTTTTCTTTTCCTATTATTGTGTAATCCTCAGTTCAAATGACCGGTTTATGCTTGTTATTGATAATTGTGATCATCTGGATTTATCAAATATCGATTAGTCATGCGGATATTGAAAGCGAAACGAACATTGAGGAAGAAAAAACACGCCTGCAAGACTGTGTTATTCAGTGAATAAAACACCGTAGCTATACCAAACGTCCTCGCTGTTTACTCCAGCTTCACCTTGGTGATGAGGCTACTGGTTCTCACCCTCACTGTTCTGTTTGAGATATCATCAGGTGAGAGTATTTATGAGGTATATTATCTGAGCGACTTAGAAATTGTTGTGGATAAATGAGGGTAAAAACAGAATTCGCGAGAGTGACAACGCCTTGTTCATTACTTTCAGGGACAGACCTCTGCTCAATAAGTGAGACTGATGTAGCCTGTCATCCATGCTCGGTGTTGTGTCTAGCACGGGAAGAGATGTGCTTCAGATGCCCAGATGGATGCGGAGAAGGTTGCAGCTCTACTTGTGGGGATAGGTGTCTACACGGAGTGTGTCATTACACAGGCACTGCACAACTTCAGTGTACTCAAGGGTGTAAAGACGGGTGGGCAGGGATATTCTGTCAAGAAGGGTGCCCACCCAACTGCGTTCTGTGTGATCAATTCAGTTCCACGTGTCTGTCGTGTGTGGAGGGGTACCAAGGTGACAACTGTACCCACATCACAGCTGCAGAGGCTGAACAGGGGACCACCACAAGTGAGCACGAGACAACACAAGGTGAGACAGAGAGCACAGACTCAACCATCACAGCCACCAGTAGTGTGAACTGTGTAAAAGAAGATCCGGCAACTGGAGCGACTTCCAACGGGAGTAAGGACAGAAATCTGAGATTGAACTGCCCTGAGGAAGGCGATCCAAGTAGGTGCAATGATTTAACATTGATTTACATTTGTACACGTGCATCTGGGAAAATAAGTACATAAATATGTTGTAATGTCTGCTGCATAACGAGATTAGGGGCCTGCGGGTCATAGGAAACAGGATAGTCATAGTATTTAATTAACAAGCCCATAAACACGTTTGACATCAATCAATCTCAGTGTGTTAAGAGTTAGTCTGCCTGGAGAGCGGAGGGTCTGTTGTTTGATTCCCAGTTGGGTCATACTAAATACATTAAATTTGTTTGTTGTTTAACGCTGCACTCAACAATATTCCAGCTATATGACAGCGGTCTGTAAATATTCGAGTTTCGACCAGACAATCCAGTGATTGACATCATGAGCATCGATCTACGCAATTAAGATATGATGACTCTAAAAATGTTTATATTCCAACAGGAACGACAGACCTATACCCTTCGTCTCTATGGCAGGGAATTAACATTGGCATCGGTCTGGCAGTTGCTGTGGTTCTTCTTCTAATCTGCGCTGCCATTGGATATAAACTGTACAAAGTGCACGGAAGCCTTCAACGGTAAATTGTTTCGATTATATTGTCTCTTTTAATTCTGAGTGAGAGAGTGAGTGAAAGTTGTTCAACGCCGAAGTCATCAATAATTCAAGCATATGACGGCGGCATGTTTTGGACCAGGCAAACCAGTGACTGAATGCATGAGCATCACTCCACTCAGCACTTGAAGTTAAAGGTTAAAGTCTACCCCGGAGTCTCGATGATGATATAAGAAAAAAATCATCACAATTTGCCGGCATATATACTTTGCAAAAACATTAAGGGATATTTTGTTTTGAGGTGAAAGAACAAGAAACTACACCAATGTCTAGCAATGAAAGTAAGTGATTTATGTTGCAAGGGCCCGAAGAAATCAACGCCCAAACACAACAGTTTATCATGAAGCACGTGACCTCGGACAGCAAGTGCAAGGGTTGGTACAGCAGATTTACCTTTGTCCCCAGAACGATATTGTTTCTTGGAACCAGACACTCAAAGACACTTTATTAAACAAATTTAATCATTAATAAAGCAACAACATTGATCATGCGACATTTGCAACATGCTAAACGTTTATATCTTATGCATTCCCTACATGTCGATAATTAAACACAGCTTGCAACTGTTCAACTCCAAAGTTCACATGTCTAATAAACAAGTTCTATAATTGTTTCTTGTTTGACGCCGCACTCAGGTAAATGACGGCGCTCTGTAAATAATCGGGCGTTCTGCCGGTCTCTAAAGTCTGTCATTTAAGCTCCTTACAGCGAACATGCGTTGCGTCATACAAGTTAATGGACCTTCAGACGTAGGTGATGCACAGAGCCACGATAGGTTAACAGTCAAATTACCATCTCATCCTACTGGGTACCCATTCACTGCTGGTTGGACAGACATATTGCGAACATAGTCACTTGCCTAAGGAGTGCCTCAGTGTTGGCAGGAACGATGCCCCAGAAATTCTCAGTAGTCGAGCTGCCGAACCAATAATTAGTTAATCCTAACATTTGCTTGTGTTTCAGTGACACTGAAGTGGCCATTGATCAACCAGTCCCTGCTCGCCCAGTTCAGGTTGCCATTGCGGATGATGACAGGGAATCTGGAATATATTCCTACGTTGTTGTCAAGGGAAATTGCTAGCAGGCAACATTCTCATTACCAGTTTGATCATCACAAGAAATAAAAGTAATAATGTTGATGTTCACAGGGCCTGTGTATTTGTGTATTACATTTCATACGTGTGCGTGCGTGTGTGCGTGCGTGTGTGCGTGCATGCCCGGGACTAATGCCGGCTTCATAGTTAGATGACATGCCGCAGTAAAACATGGGTACACTTTCTTGATTGCATGGCGATGTTTTCAAAAGGGAAGATGCTGGATAGGCACCATATATTTTGTTTGTTTCTTGTTTACCACCGCACTCAGCAATATTCCAACTGTATGACGACGGTCTGTAAAAAAAATTATCGATTCTCAACTCGATATGATGAGCATGGAACTATGCAATTGGGATAAGATGGCATGCATCAACCACCCGATCCCGTTAGTCGCCTCTTACGACAAGCATAGGTTGTTGAAGACCTATCATAACCCGAATCTTCACGGGTCCACAGAATGCTGAATCCGAGCCGAGCAGTCCTTGTTTTATCCCAATAATGCCTGCGCCAGGCATAATATAGTCTTTTGGTAAGACGCGGCCGGGGATCGCAATATTCGCATATTCGCAATATGAAGGGAAAGTCGAGACGGTTTGTTTGCCAGGGGTGGACACTAGTTGTTCTGTCGCGTTTGTTTTTTAACTGGAAGAAGGAAATAACTCAACAATAAACATGGCTGCTGTCGTCTTAAACTTCACCCCTGAGTTTTGTCTTCCGTCTCCACCCTGAGCTACCATCCGAGGGCAAAATCTAAACTCTTGGACATATCTGTAAATAATATAATTCCTTATTGGCGCATTGGATTGTTTTCACTTTATAAGTAAAAGCATAAATGCAGCTTTCTTCGTTGATTAATCATCACCATATTTCGGGATTCTATTCTAAGTGGCGAGGACTATGGTCTCCTCAATTGTTTCGGGGAATCCTAAAATTTCACAAACCTGATATCAAAACGGAAGCACCTGGGAGCAATATTCGCAATATGAAGGGAAAGTCTAGACGGTTCGTTTGCCAGGGGTGGACACTGGTTGTTCTCTCGCGTTTGTTTTTTTAACTAGAAGAAGGAAATAACTCCTTGCAATATATGTTTTTTTAAATACATGACTCGAAACGATTATTGATTTGTCATGCTTCGTTGTGTCCTTATTATCAGAACACTTTCCGGGTGTGTTCAGATTCAGGCCACATAATGTTGAACAGGCACGCAGCTGTGTGGTTAATACTATCGGTGTATCGCCCGGGTAATTCCACATGCATACATTTACATATTCAGGGTGGCCCAAAGTTGAGAAAAGTTGTAATTAATGCTAACAGCATTCACAAGACTAAACAGTGGCAAAAACGTCTTGAATACGGATGTTTGCGTCGTAAATGAAGAAATTATGAAAAATGTAATTCTTCTCTAGTAGCTTAAGGAGAACGCTTCACTTATCTCTTGTGTAAGCTAGATGCTGACATATTGAAAAATGGAATATTCTACGATCTTCCCATAAAGTAATAGAACTCATCGGAGTGTTATTGTACACCTCCGGCCCGTTTACAGTGGTAAAGGTCATGTCACATTTACAGTACAACACATATTTTAAGGACCCGTGAAGATTTCGGGGTAGAATAGGTCTTCAGCAACCCATACTTGCCGTAAAAGGTGACTATGCTTGTCGTAAAATGCGACTAACGGGATCGGGTGGTCAGGCTCACTGACTCGGTTGATGCATGTCATCGATCTCAATTGTGTGGATCGATGCTCATGATGTCAATCACTGGATTGTCTGATCCAGACTCGATTATTTTACAGACCGCCGTCATATAGCTGGAGTATTGCTGAGTGCGGTGTTCAACAGCAAACAAACAAACAAAACATATTTTAAGAATCCCTTTTCCTACACGACATGACCTGATGTGTGTACAAGGTTATGTGGAGTTTTATATTGCGAGAATGGGAGTTTTCCACTAAGGTGTTTCTGTAGACATTTGGCAACTTAAGACCTGTTAACCCTGTCTCAGCAGTCTTTATTCAAGTTAAAAGGAAATTCCTCTTCAACACTAAGACTCACTCTAAGAGGATATTTAAGTCCCACATCATTCAAAGTATTTTTATGCATACCAGAATTTTAAAACGTAGTATTTTTGTCATTTTAATATAAGGCTTATCTGGTAAACTGTCGTCAGTGACTGAAGGGTTGATATAAATCCTGCCAGGGTCCATGCAGGAAGCAAAGGTATGGTCCCTGGTATGGTGATCTCCCTTTATAGTTATTGACGATCTCTAGCCCAGTTTTATATTGTGTTCTTCACCTTTTTTCTGCTTTGAGATATTCCTCAACTAGTTTTAAATCTTATCTGTGATATTCTAGTTATCATACTGTCCTTCGATGACAGGTTTTTATAAAGTCTTAATATGTGTATATTTAATTAATAACTTCTCGTCACGGTATGGCTGAATATTGCCGATGTGACGTTTAATATTAACTCACTCACTCAACACTAAGACACAATATGCACATGTTTAAGCAATTCTCATTTGACAATCTTCCGCCATTGTTTTAATATTGCACGATGTTCTCACGGGCACGGGTGGTCCAGTAGTCTGAAGTGCAGAGTTGAGTGCCTTTGGCGTGCACGAAACCTATGATCGTAAGATTTATGTAACAAAACAAAATTAGTAAGTGAGACGAGGTTGGGGAGCAATGATATGAAGTGCAGGAGTCGAGGTTGGGTAACAATTCAAATGGAGTACGTGAGACGGGGGTGGGGATGGGTAACAATACAACTTTAGTACGTGAGGCGGGGATGGAATTCGCTTACAATACAAATATAGCACGTGAGGCGGAAGTATGGGGTGGGTAATAATACAATCGTAATACGGGGTGGAGATGGGTAATAACATAAATGTAGCACGGGTTTTAAATACAAATGTAGTATGGGTCATCAAACATATGTAGTATAGGTAGTCGTATGAATACAAATTGAGTAAGGGTGGCAATATCAATATAATATCTGTAGTACGGGTCAGACTCGCTGACTTGGTTAATGCATGTCATCGATCCCAAATGCGTGGATCGATGCTCATGATATTAATCACTGATTTGTCTGGTTCAGACTCGATTATTTAAAGACCGCCGCCATAAAGCTGAAATATTGCTGATTGTGGCATTAAACAATAAACCAACCAACGTTAGTCGCCTCTTACGAACGGGATCGGGTGCGGCGTTAAACAACAAACTAACAAACTAACAAACGAACACAAGGAAGTACGCCACACATATCGTCTTATACCACCGCCGTGTCATTTCTATTTACTAAGATTTTGTGTACGACCTTTCATCAGACGTCTGCTCCCGTTCCCGAGGGCGCGGAAAAAGGAAATATTTTAAGTCGGACTCTTGTAACCAACAGTTTCTGTTCTTAAATGAATTACTAAAACCTACCCGATGGCCTGCATTATTCAGCATTTGCTTACGAATGTGTTAACATCATTATTGACATTAGAAATATTGTTTAAAAGTATCATGGTCAGCTAATTCTTGTACACGTGTGTGTGTGTGTGTGTGTGTGTGTGTGTGTGTGTGTGTGTGTGTGTGTGTGTGTGTGTGTGTGTGTGTGTGTGTGTGTGTGTGTGTGTGTGCGCGCGCGCGCGTGTGTGTGTGTGTGTATGAATACTTTAGTGAATTCTTTTTGATCCAACTGTTTTTTATCCTCGTTGTGATAGACCCTGTGTGTTATACTTTCAATGTACAATGTATATATAAAATAACATGTTGCGATCATCTAGTAGTCTGTTAAAATTGACATTGTTACTGTGCAACAGAAAACTATGAGATAAACATGTTCGTGACAACACTAGCTACAGTAAACTACGGTTATAACGAACTCAAAGCGACCGATAATTAATGGTTCATTGACTGGAATGTTTGAAGGGGAAAGGAGTAAGTGTAGAGGAGTGAGTGGGGGCAATGCTTGAGAGGGGAAAGTGGCTGTGAGTGAGTGAGTTGGAGTGTGAGTGTGGGAGAGTGAGCGAGAGGGGGGATGCATGAGAGGGAAGAGTGAGTTTGAGGGGAGAGTGAGAGAGTAGTTTTTTTAGTTTTGGTGAGTGGGTGAGAGGGGAGTGTGACTGAGAGGTGAGTGAGTGGTTGTTTTAGTGTGTGTGTGTGTGTGTGTGTATGGGGGGGGGGGGGGGGGGGGTGAGAGAGTGGTTGCTTGAGTGTGGGGGAGTGAGTGAGAGGGGGAGTGAGAGATTTGTTCCTTGGGTGTTGGAGCGTGAGTGAGAGGGGAGAGTGACTGAGTGTTTGTTTGGGTGTGGGGGAGTGACTGAGAGGGGAGAGTGACTAAGTGTTTGTTTGAGTTTGGGGGAGTGAGTGAGAGGGGGAGTGAGAGAGTGGTTCCTTGGGTGTGGGGGAGTGAGTGAGAGGGGAGAGCGACTGAGTGTTTGTTTGGGTGTGGGGGAGTGAGTGAGAGGGGGAGTGAGAGAGTGGTTGCTTGAGTGTGGGGGAGTGAGTGAGAGGGGGAGTGAGAGATTTGTTCCTTGGGTGTTGGAGCGTGAGTGAGAGGGGAGAGTGACTGAGTGGTTGTTTGGGTGTGGGAGAGTGAGAGAGAGAGGAGAGTGACTGAGTGTTTGTTTGGGTGTGGGAGAGTGACTGAGAGGGGAGAGTGACTGAGTGTTTGTTTGGGTGTGGGGGAGTGAGTGAGAGGGGGAGTGAGAGAGTGGTTGCTTGAGTGTGGGGGAGTGAGTGAGAGGGGGAGTGAGAGATTTGTTCCTTGGGTGTTGGAGCGTGAGTGAGAGGGGAGAGTGACTGAGTGTTTGTTTGGGTGTGGGGGAGTGACTGAGAGGGGAGAGTGACTAAGTGTTTGTTTGAGTTTGGGGGAGTGAGTGAGAGGGGGAGTGAGAGAGTGGTTCCTTGGGTGTGGGGGAGTGAGTGAGAGGGGAGAGCGACTGAGTGGTTGTTTGGTTGCGGGGGAGTGAGTGAGAGGGGAGTGAGAGGAGAGTGAGAGTGTGGTTGTTTGAGTTTGGGGGAGTGAGTGAGAGGGAAGAGTGACTGAGTGGTTGTTTGATTGTGGGGGAGTGAGTGAGAGGGAAGAGTGACTGAGTGGTTGTTTGAGTGTTGGGGAGTGAGTGAGAGGGGAGAGTGACTGAGTGGTTGTTT